ATCACTTTTAAAATATTTAGTGTGTTGTGACAAGGTAAATACTGACCCTAGTTACTTTCATTAAGCCAGAAGCAGGAAGTCCACAGGTATGAAAAAAGTAGGCATGTAAACACATCCTTACTGCTTTGTTCTGATAAGCTACCAAGTATGTAGTGATGAAAAGAATGCAAGCTTGTACAAACTCCAAATATACATACCTAGAATAGTTCCTACTGTGTTAAAACAAACACATATAAAACTAAACTGTTTGGTGCAGAAAAACCTCCTTCCTTCCTAGACTGAAAAAAGTATCCTCTGCTTATGTGTACTTAGATAATATTGACGGATTTGCAGGACAAAGATGTCCTCTCCCTTTATGTCTTGGTATCTCACTATAAGATCATTTTCATCTATGCAAACTCCATTTTAGCAATATCACCATATATAAGCGCTAAATGTAACTTGTAAATATTATATTCTTCCAGCATCACTGATAAGTAAGGCCTTATACAGAATGAGGGGAACATAATCTTAGCATGGGGGGAACATAATCTTCTCCTCATTGAACCATCCTAGTATTTCTCTGTGCTCATCTTTTTGTCTAATTACAGAAAACTCTCCACAAAGTGTAATTCATCATTGCAGAATTGCTTCAATCCACTGATAATTTCTGCACCTTCTTAAGACATGGCAACCTGAATCACCTGAAGGATTAGCAGAAAATACCATGTTTACATGGTGGCATCTCAAGATTTTGAACTGACTTATAATAATGCCCAAGTGGAATGCAGGTGCCTAAAGAGGTATGCACATGGGACTTTTTATCCATGCGTTTTCCACTGCAAGTATTGCCCATACATCTGAAATTTATAGGCCTTGCACAATCCAAAGAAGGCATGAGAAAACTGGATTATCATCTAATTACATTATACCCTTATAGTCATACAGTCACCAACATCACATTACACCTTCTCTTTTCCCTTAAACTCCCTGTTCAATTTTAAAGTACAAATGAGAACTAGGTAAAGAACCTATGTAAATAACCAATGGCTTACAGTATATTTTCTGGCTGCAAAGATATTGCAGAATGTTATATGGAACCATATTTTTACAGTATTCTGGCTTTTCATCATCTTCACACTTTCCTTTGTGGATATACATTTAGATATACAGAAAAAAACAAAACACAATAAATTCTCTCACACAAAAAGATGGCTAAGAAATCTCATTACCATATATACTCATGGATAAGCCAAGAATTTTAGATGCCAAAATAACTCCAAAAATCGGGTTTGGCTTATCCAAGGATGGGCTTGGATAAGTATGTACAAGTACATACAAGTATGTACAGTAGTACTTTTTAAAAGGACTCATATTTCCTGTATATACGTATTCACATATAAACCCACCTGCAGATAAGCAGCTCCTTGAATTTTTAAGCAAAATAACATGAAAAATGGAGTTGGCTTATCCATGGATGGCACATTTTTCATGATATTTTGGTTAAAAATTCAAGGGCCAGCTGATCTGTGGATGGGCTTATATGTTTATACGGTAATTTTACTGAAGCTCTTTGGCTTCTTCTGAAATTCTCAGACTTTCATGTTATGTGTAGGTCAACAGTGTCTCTCTCTAGCAGCATATTGTGCACTGAAAATGATGCAGGAACCTACATTATGTTGTTAGTATTCTTGAGAATACCATAGATAGCTAAGAAAACAAACAAATGGATAGCAGAACAAATTAATCCAGAGTTCTCACTTGAGCCATAAATGGCTAGGCTCAGTTTATTATATTTTAAACACATTATGCAAAGACCCAGTTCCCTTGAGAAGTCCATAATGCAAGGAAAAACGGAAGGAGAGAGAAAACAATAATCAGCATCAGGGTGGGTGAAGTCAATTATAGTGTTGATCGGTGCACCATTGGAAGATCTGAAGGGCCCAGTTGGGGATAGATTATCCTGGAGAAGATCCATCTATGTGATCACTAAGAATCAATACTGACTTGATGGCATGTATTCAATCAATCATCCTCCAAAGATTCAGAAAAAATAAACCAGGCTTGAACTGGGGCCAGCACGGACCAGGCATTTGCACTACAAAACAATCTAAGCTTTCCTCATAACTGCTTTCGTCTTACTTATTAGGATGTGGTAACAAGAGAAATAGGAGAATTGGATCACTTAGAATTACTGTTCCCTAGATGCTGCCATAAACATGCAGAACAGCATAAAAAGCTGTTGGAAATCTTGATTGTTATAGTTCCCCCCATTCCCAGCCTCTGCAGACATTACCTTATGTACCTGTGATTATGAACAGAGGTGCTGTGACTCATGAGAGGTGTATATCGCAGGGGTTTTGATATCCCTACTGTCTACATTTGTAACAACTTTGGAAACCAGGAAAGAAAAAAATTCTATCGTATCTTGTTGTCCTGGGTGTTCTAACACTGATGTCCTACTATCTCCTGCAAACTTCATATTCCTATCCATCAGGGTAAGTTTGTAAAATGGACAGAGGCTGCAAGGGGAACTCTTAGGTAATGTATAGAAAACATATCCTTTTCAGGTTAATCCAGATCTAAAAGGTTTGGGCCAAATTAAAATGCTTCTGATTGTAGATCCATGAAATCCAGTGTCCTACATAACTTTCACCTTGCAGTGATTCTGCCAAGATAAAAAGTTAAATGAGATACTGGCTTAAATTAATCATTATATCAGTGAATACTTTATGACATTTTCTTACAGAAGCATAAGCTGGTTTGCATCTTGCCTTGATCTAGTTTTAATTCAAAGCACTGCAATATAAGATTTAAACGTAGATTTAAAAGTGCTTAACTTTTTGACACCATTATCTGTATTCCATAAATACCTTGTAATAATAAATTATATAGTCTTTTTGAGTTAGAAAATTCATCCTCCTTTCATCAGCAAGGTCAACTATTATTTTTCTCATTTGATTCTAGAATCTGAATGCCTTTAACAACATTTTCCAGACTGAAAGGGAAGAGATAATTATATTATTATTATAGCAAGGATAAATACAAGAGTGTGTGTCTGTGTGTGTATTTGGATTACGCAAATTTAAATGACAATTTATCCTCTTTTTGAAATTGTGGTCATCAGCACTAACTGAAATTGTGAGCAATTCCTGAACACGCTATAATAAGAACGAACAACACTTAAATTACCTCCAAAATAAAAACATAGAAAAAATATTTATGATGCTAATCATTAATCACATCCCTCCAGAATAATTTAGCCAATAAGAAAATTATCTGAATCATCTCCAGGGTAGAAGTTCAGTAAACTGTAACCTTTTTCCTGAAACATACTTTAAAAATTCTGTTCAATTTATTATACAATCTTCAGTTCCTTCCTTATAAATGCCTGTGCAAATATAGTATCTTCCACAGTACAAAAACAAAAACAAAGGATATTTATTTTTAAGCAGTTGCTAAGTAAAAATGTATATTGTTATGCTTGATTAACGTTGAATATATCCTCACTCCTCATTAAGGAAAATATTAATTGCATTTGGTTAATGGAGCAACCATGCCTGCAAAAACTAAACATCCCATAGTGAGGGACTCAATGGTATTCAGTGAATCTGACTATGTTATTACAAAACTCCTTCCTGTATAGTGAATAGCTTGGAAGTTGTTGTTTCCAATTTTAATACATCAAAATATAGCATCATCTGAATCCTTAGTCATAGTTTGATTCAACAAGCCAACATATAGTCCATGATTAGAAGTTAGCATCTTTCAAGCAAATCACATTTAAGTTTAACCACAATTTGTTGCACTCTAGAAAGTGCAGAAAGCAAGACCAATGGTTAATCTGAACCTGAAGCAAAAAAGTCTGAACTCTTCTTTGTAGTCACAGTGGAGAAGGATAGGATAGGATAGGATAGGATAGGATAGGATAGGATAGGATAGGATAGGATAGGATAGGATAGGATAGGATAGGATCCATGCAGCTTGTTCTCATCACAGTTTTCTATCACAGTTAAACAATGGTTTAGCCTGAAACTCACACATCGTTTCTTTGTTGGGTTGCTACCACAAACTATTTTGATATTTTTTTAGAAGAAAAAAGAAAGCCAACGTTATTAAATTGAGTCAAATAGAGTGTCTTAAAAGAAGATACATAAAATGCTACAGTGGCACACACTTTTTGAAATAAAAAGCTTTAGGGGCAAAAGCCTCCCCTTTGGTTTTTCACAAATTAGTGCTACAAGTTAATTCAGTAATGGAATTAACACAGGAAAACAGGATTGTTTTGTTATTTGACAATGGAAATACTAGAAATATGCTGCAAATGAAAGGTCATTGTTTGATCTACAGGTGACCAGTTCAAAATCATTCTGTAACCAAGTGAGTAACACCAACATATATACATTCAGAAGCAGCATCTTCTCTAATATCTGTTTAGCTAACTGGGGTCATGTGCTTTCTTTAAGAAATAGAAGATGACCTCTCTGTAACTTTTAGAATGACCTTGTAATAAAGCCACCCATGCAGTATATTTAAATATAACTTTTTTTTTTAGTTCTGCTTACTATGAAGATGTGAGTACTTCTATGTGCATCATCCTACTGGCAGAAAAAAAAATGGGGATATTTAGCATATAATTTGAAAGCTTCATCTATTTGAATCACAATTTGCTCTTTTTAGTTTTTGCTTTGCATGTTTGCAGTTAAACAAGAATAGATACAATTATAGACTGAGAATGTATACACCAACCATTTTTCCAATTATGTAACTCCAGATTCCCAAGTACATATAATACAGTTTATCTAAGTTATTACATTTGTCACCATTTGAGCATTTCACTGATTGTTATTTTCTCTCCTTTTGACAAACCACATAATGAATTTATGGCACAACCCAAAATATGCCAAACATTCTTTAGGGACATTTAAAAAAGAACAAAAGAAAGAAGGTGGGGTGGAAAAGACAGGAAAAGAAAGAGAAAAGAGAGGGTAGAAAAAGAAAAGAAATCTGATAAGACTCACAATCTGCTTCTAGAATGGCACGGACAGATCTAGCAAGTTCTTTGGCTTCTGTTGCAAGAGATGCTGCCAGAGTGCGGCCATTCCGTCCCAGATGTGCAAGGAGCATTTTTGAAGAGATCGTGGCTTTCCTGTCACTAGATGAAATGATCAGAAAAAGAACAAAGTGTTTCTTTACAGTGTTACAATATTCTTGTTTATGACACTAAATGCATATTCATTTTCATCTACATCTATAACCTAAGAGTAGTCAAGGATTGCCTTACCAGAACACTCTGTTCTGAGCTGTGATATTTGTCAGTATAAATTAACACCATTTTTTGAAGCAGAGGATGAGCAGGTTAAAGACTGCATGGTGAAATGGGCTGCAAACTTTGGTTATAATATAAATATGGATATATGGGAGAAAATGTGGGAAACTAGTGTGAAATTTACATTGTGTCATAATTTAAGACAGAACTTTTATAAAATGATGTACCGATGGTAAATGACACTGGCTACACTGTCTATAAGGTATAAAGGAATATCAAATAAGTGTTGGAAGTGTGAAAAGGAAGAGGGGACTTTTTACCATGCATGGTGGATTTGTGAAAAAGCAAAGGAATTTTGGGTGCAAATTCATACAATGATGCAAAATATACTGTGGATTAATATTCTGATGAATCCAGAATTATTTTTATTGGGCTTTATGGAAAAAAAATATGGCCTTCCCTTATATAATGGAATGCATCTGGTGGCCAAAATAAAAATGTAACTATAAATGAATGATCACACTAGATTGCAACAGAACACTAAGATCTAGATACTGACATGATAGCGATCTCCATCAATACATGAAAAGGGCTATTAATTAGGTAGAAGTAATGTAAAACTTCATACATGGGAACATGACACAATGTTATATTCACATCTCTCTGCTCTCAAAACTTAAGGGAAGGTGGACTGTATTTACTATTCTGATAGATTCTAACCTAATCTGATTCTATTCTCAAAATCCTATTCTATTCTCAAAAATTGAAGACAATTTTCAACAGGAATAAGAAAGCTTCAGCTGATGGGTGAGTGGAACTGAGAGAACTGTGTTCAGGTCCACTCTCCATGACAAACTCAGTTGTTTAGCCTTTGGCAAATCAGATATTTTTGCAGTCAATTCTCTCTATCCATATCAAAATAAGACTACTTGTTCTGTCAAACAGAATCTTCTGGGTATCAACTTTATAATGCTAATTTTAAAAATCTGCAAAAAAAGTTCCGCATGGGTTTTGTAATAAAGTTGAAGAATCAGTTCTTGGGTTCTTTGTCCTCTTATCAGAGTTTCAGTATTAATTCAAGATACAGTAATTTCAGCAGATTAATTTCAACAGCACATAGTTCTTACCTTAAAGTGACCGGAGGACTACTGCTATCCAATAGTATTTCAGGTACAGTCTACAGGCAAATAGTAGAAAGTAAGAAAAATAAATAAAATAGCCACTTCCAAAAGCTCAACAGCATCGTTTTTTCTTTCACTGGTTATACAATCATCAGCCTTCAAAGTCTGCATTTAGAAAGCACACAGCTTTATATACCCGTATCTTAAGCTAGGTTAGCCTTATTGTCTGCAATTCATACCCTTCTGAAATCAACAGTAAAGTTAACAACCTCCTTAATGGTTGTTGATTTTTCCAGTTGCCTTCACTGGGGCAGTTAACAGCCTTATCTTTCAGGTGCCTATGACTTTCTGCTGTTGTATCACAACAGTAGTGATGCAAACAAATCAGCATCCAATCTGCAGTTGGCACTCTATGGTTGTGTTGCATAAGAGCTAAAGTTGGAGGTAGGCTTGGCCGCATGTGGTGTGGACAAGATCACCCCACTCTTTCAAGCTGTTTCTGCCAACTTCAATTTCGTTCTACACCTTATTGGAAGAATGCCTTGCACTATCCCTAGTCCACTGGTCAAATTATGGGAAGGAATGTAGTGAAAATTATCCTCATATATTATCCAAATCATGACCTCTGAATACATTTCTAAGACAGTATCTAAGAGATGCAATCAAAAAAAGAAGAAACAAGGACTCCTTCTAGCTTCATATGATTTGAGCAATGATTTGGTGACCAGATACATTGTCCCAAGCTTCTGTATCAACGTGAAGTTGTAAGTCATAACAATGGAAGAACTAGAGAGAGGGGATACTGGAGATGGCAAAGACAGTATTGCCAATGAACCCCTTTGGGGATTTCTTAAAGGTTGGAAGGAATGAAAATTGGATCAGATCCCAGGGCTTCCTCTTCCTTCCTTAATGGTTTGCTAGGAAAGCAACTATGACTAATACAGAAGGCAGATGGGAAAGGGATCACAACAGCATAAGCAGTATCTCTCTAGACTTGGCATCAGGGTTAATACCACTAAGCAAGTTAAAACTAACAATAACAAAGCAAAAGCAAGGACATTTCTTATTATTAAACATTGTCTTAGTAATAAAAAAAACAAGTCTTACTTGGAATTTCTGAGACAAATAATCTAGAATCCTCTAAGGTGAAAATCTAGTTTTACAATTCTGCAATATTTGAGTTATAAACCCTAGGTTTGCAGCAACTGTTGAATTATAAAATAATTACCGCCCTTGTATAGTATCAAGTTCTTGTACAGAGACTTGTACAAGAACTTGCTTCAGTTCTTGTACAGCTCACCAAGGGACTTAGGTTTTACAGGGATATTCTAGATCTGTTTTCTGAATTGTTAGTTTTTACTTAAAAGAAGAAAAGAAAATAAGTTTCTAACCCATTAATAATAGTGCAATTAAATAACTTTTAATAACAAATCTTTTTAACAACTAATGCAATCAACATGCTCTGGTCCCTTTAAGGAAGAACAATATTTGAATTTGCTGTTACCTCAACAAATTGTAGCAACTTTTCAGTTGCCACCTCAAAGGTCTTCTTGGCTGTTTCAGATTTTCTTAATTGACAATCAAGCACAGTAATCCTCTTCCTTAAATCCTGCACACTCTCCTAGGAAAGAAATAATTTAAGTGGCCCACCAAAGCAGAAGCAATAGAACCTAAATGTCAAGGTAGGGAGAAAGGGGCACAAAGGCATTACTTGTACAAGATCTGATCCAGCATCCAGATACAATGCAAAGATAGAAGATTTTATGATGGGGGTCAAGTGAATTCGAAGGTGATTAGAATACTGGAGAAGCCAATCCATTTTTTTTAAAGGGGCAGTCATGTGTCCTTAAAGCTTCATTAACTATTCCTTAATTTGTAAATCTGAACAAAATGTTCGCTGTCAGAGGAGCAACATGACACACTGCAATCCTTTTCATTGTTGTACATCTATCAATGACAAGCATGGGGAAAACAGGGCTTCCTCTATAAGCAGAGTAAGGCAGCCACTTTGGCTGGCAGATATTCACAGGGAGGATAGAGCTGACTGGGGCATACAGTCAGCTTACTTAGCTGTTCATCTAATCCTTCAGTTCAGGCAATAAAATGGAAGAGTGGGGAAAAACAGCTTTACTTCTACTCTGTGTGAGCCACCCTTTGCTGGAAGAAGGCAGAGTTTGCTTCTGGGCACTTGTCCTGATTGTTTTTCTTTTAGCAGTCTGGGAGAGGAATGGTAAGAGCTGAGCCAGTTTTAAACTGCTTTCTTCTATCTATTCCAACTCTAAGTACTGGTTCTTGGTCAAGCTAGGGTGTGATAAGGTGAACCTAGGAACTTGTTTTGACATGCATGCTACTTAAATATTAGCCATGGATATCCTGAGCTCTAAGATGATAAAAACGTTACAAGTACTATTCTCCTCTTCCAAAAATACAACTTTAAATATATTGTAGCCCATGGTATGAAAACTGCCCCCATTTATTATGTAATCTAAAATCTTGCTACCATTCCTCGTGTATACTTAATTCCAGGTTTTTATGTTATTCACATCCACACAATTGCATGTATTTGTGCCTAGGACTGCAGCTAAATTTCCAATTCATAAAATTATTGCTTCCTCTCCAAAAATTAGCATAGGGACACAAGACAACTGATCCCACAAATTATTATTTGATTATGCTGGGAGATGCACTTTTCAGCTCCTCTAAACTTTAAGCAAAAGGTTCCCCCCCCCCCCAAAAAAAGGATTCCTGCATTATGACAAGACTTTTTATCAATGAAGTTCCTTGACTTCCCCAAAGGAAACTACTGTGACTAAGAGAAAATTAGCACAAAACAGGGATTATTAAAAATGACTCATTCTCCAACAACCGATGCTAATATTAGCTGCAGAGGGCCCTTCCCAAAGTTCCAGCAGCTTCGTTTTCCTTTCTGTATGAATGCTGGTAGAAATACATACATCTTATAGGCTACTGCATACGGAAGGCAACCTTTCTGAAATCTTGTCAGGAAAAAGCAAAGCAGCTAGTCATCTTCTGCAGAGGCATTCTGTGCACTGAGCTCTTTTCCCACTCTCTCCATCCTTTGTTAACTAGTTACAAACAGCAAACTATCCACGATGGTCATGATTATCATGACATAGTAAATCATTATATGGTTTGGCTAGCTTGACTATGTCAGCTGGTCTCCAAATAATTTGGCTTGTCCATGATTATGCATTTTATCTGAACACAGGCTACTCTAGAGAAGACTCACAGCATACTTGAATTGTTTTCTGTGATTATATCCAGCCAGACACAGCATGCATTCTACATTACATTTAACTGTAAGAAAACACAAGATGGGGGTTCCAAACCACATTGCTCAGGGGGAGGAGCCAGCAGATAGGGTTAGGCTAATTAAGCCTCATAGTTTGCTATCTTGTGGAACTTGGCGTGTGAGGGTCTCTTCTTTCCTCTTATAAAGTCTATGGCACCAATTCACAGTTACTGAGAAAATATCAACAATAAAGAACACTGATTAGTTCACATCTGAACATGTGTGCTCAGTTTATATCTCACACCAGTGAATAGATTCCACTGATTTCTGTAGACAAAAGAACTAGCCTACTGTTAGGCAAAAGGCTGTTGCTCTTACATATGGCAAATGCTGAAACAGGGTGGCAATTCTTCACTATTTCACCTTCTAGCCCCACAAGTAACCTTCTGCTTCGAGCTGTGATGGAGGAAGATGTCCTTTTATCACATACCTACATACCCATCACATGATTTCCTTTTGGGATAAGCAAAGTTATGTAAAACACAGGAAGTAAGAAACAGCAAGCCAAAGAATGAAAGGCATGAGAAAGAAAAGGAAAAAAAAGAAAAGAAGAAGAAAAAATAACTAAATCCAGTTCACCCCATTTTACCCCTCTGTACCTTCTAACATTGCAAACCATCCTTACTTCCACCACATCCATATACCATCTTTTGTTCTTTAAACTGCTCACCTTTCTTTTCTTTGAGGATCTTATCAATTCCATGCAACCATAATGTTACCATTCTTCCCTTTCTTCTTGACACATTCACTCTTTCTTCATGTATTTGTTTCACAACTGATCCTTGTTCATTCTTTCTACATGACCTCAATGAACTCTTATACTGGTCATTCATTTTGTTATTCAATCCATTTTCATTCTTGATCCTAACTCTTCTTTGCCTTCAGTTTACTTCTGTTTATCTTCCAGCTCTCCATTCCATTTTACAAAGCCATTTTCATTTGTTTTGAAATTCCTCACAACAGACCACATACTATACACTATCTACTAAAATTTGCCCAAAATAAAATTTCTCCATCCATTTTCCCATGTTCTGTAAATATTCAACCAAGGCGTAGAAATTCATTTACTTGTTCTAATTTTTTTATTGTGCATGTATAAATTACAACTGTCAAACTCAACTCACTTTGGTCTTTGACACATTAGTTTTCAAATCCTTATTTTTCAATTAATTAATTAATTATAGCCTCCAAGAGTTCAAGGCAGCTTACATGGAGATCTCCCTTCATTTTATTCCTTAACCAGCAACCTACCTGTGAGGTAGGTCAGGTTGAAAGAGAGTGACTGGTCCAAAGCCACTCAGTGAGTTTCTATGGCTGAGACTGGACTTGAATCTGGGTTTCCCAAGTCAGAGTCCAATGCTTTAACCACTATTTCATGCTTCTCTTCATTTTACACTGTCTCTCAATTTAAGTATATAATCAATGTAATATTTGTTGTAAATTGTTTAGATTCTCAGCCAACAACGTGGCATTCCCTGCATACAAAAGTTCATGTACACTCATGTCACAAAACAACTTGTCTCTAACATCATCACAGGCAGTTCTTATACATTCATCCATAATTACATTAAACAGCCAAGGGGTCATCACATATCATTAATTTACTCCTGATAATGGCTGAATCACATGTTAATCCATTTATACTAATGCATGATTTACTTCCATCTTATATATTCTTGTCATATTCAGCTACAACCTTCAATGCTATCGTCACACAAAACATTTCATAATGCAAACCATATGATTTTTCTAAATCAGTAAACATACAATAAACTTTTTGCTTGCATTTTTTACCTGCTGAAGAGCAAAACTCTCATCCACATGCTGCCTCACTGGTATAAAGCTCTACCACAGTTCTCATATTTTGTTCACTGCCACCTCTCACTTAGAATTCTGCCAAACACCTTCCCAGGCACATTAAACAAGGGTACACTCTTCCTATCTTTCCCTTTGTTTAGGGGAACAATAACAGCATTCATAGGGGACTGGTTCCAGGTTATACTTAAGGATCAGCACTTTGTAATGTGAAATGAGCAGAGAGAAATTTGGGTGCTGCATTTTATAATCTGTAAAGGTATGTGTGCATGTGTATACACATGAGCAATGCAAGTTTACTCTCAAGTAAATCTTTTTCATCTTATTTGTTAAACTTACTTAGAGTTACAGCTTTAGAAAAGGCTACAAAATCCTTCAGTTTAACAGGAAGGATTTTTTCCTATCCATCCCATAAGCAAAACACATCTATACTTTTAACTTTTCTCCAGTTACACCGACTAAACCTACGGAAGCCATTTTAGCACATTCTCACAGCACTTTTCATTATTTTTTCTTGATCATTTATAGCATTTGTTTCAATTCCTCTCTTCAACTTACCGCTACTCCTAATCCTAACCCTCATTTCAGTTTCATCACAAGCTTTACTTTATTTTTTAATACCATTCACTGAGCTGGAAGCTTTTTTCCCAGCCCTCTTCATCTATTTCTAATTTTTAAAAAATCCTCATTAAAATAATTTTGTATTTTCTCCACCTTTTTTATTCTTAACCATTCCTTGCTCTCTTTGACTATATTTTTTGCAACAACTTTTTCTATATATTTATTATCTTTTTTCATCCATATCTTTTGGAGCATTTTCTTATATACATTTTTATCATCTCCAATTTTTTTACTTCATCATTCCACAAAGTATCCTTTTTCATAATTCTCAACAGAATAACTCCGCACACTGAGCGTGGTTGTTTCCTTGCATACGTTTCATTACCTGACTAGGTAACATCTTCAGTGCTACTACATCAGCACTGAAGATGTTACCTAGCCAGGTAACGAAACGCCTGCAAGAAAACAACCAAGCTCAGAAAACCCCAAGGACTCTACAGTTCAACCGTGAGCTACATATATTCTCTTCTATTGGTAACTCCACATACTTCTGTGGCATTCTGTGGTGTTCTTTTAATTCAGTTACAAGCACATTCTACATAATTTTCCTTATGTTCACTCTACCTACCTTCTCTTGGAAAATTAATGTATCTTCTAATAGTTTTCATACAAGATCTACACTTTCTCTTCCTGCCATCATTCTGCTTTTACTCATTTCTTTAACTTCTTTCCTTTTATTCCATTATGTCCATTCCATCCCCACCAAGATCTGCTCTTGAGGCTAGCAAAAATGATTGGTTTGTATATCAAACCCCTGATCACCGATGTAGCCTTCACTAATTCTCTCAATTTTTCATCATAAACAATGATAAATGATTTTTGATTATATTAAATTATTATTAATCAATAAAATTATCAATGGGCATACTTTCATATTTATGTATAATTATGAACAGACATGCTTAGACCACATATTTGAAGCAAACAGTTCTTTTCTAAATAGGTACTCACCACTCACCAATTCTCACGACTTCTTAGGTCTTAGAATGGCTCAGTCATTTTCTCTGTAGCCTCTCATCTCATTCTCACCCATCCATTCATGTCACCTAACAAAGTAATTTCCCCCCCACCATCACGTTCATTGAGAACGTTTTCTCTAAAATTCATCACTGGTTCTTCTATTATTACAATGCATTGGAGTGAAACAATTGTTATCAACATATGGATTCCTACTTTCATATGCATTCAGAACAACCTAGATGACAAAACTTCATACTTTCTGATACACATTTCACTACTTTTATTCTTAATTAAATCTACATCTTCAGTTCATCTACACTATCCTTATAACTGTTGAATTAAGGCTGATGTGCCAGTCCTGTTGGGATTCTATATGCAGAGACCCTTATTTTGCCCTGTTTCAGGCCTCAGGCAAAGTGAATGTAGCAGCAAGGGCAGTTTGTTAATATTTTGTTCACCAAACAAACAAAATCACTAAGGCAAAGTAACCAAAGTTCATCTATAACAAAGCTTTTCAGATTCTGTTATAAGCTTTCTGTAGCACTTGCTAAAAGGCACTTACTGTATTTATGTTTTAGAGTTTCAGAATAGGGAGGAACAAAACCCTGTTTATGCCTTTCAAGCACCTAGAAAAATTGTGACTGGTAGTCAAGAATCAGATTTAGAGAAATGCTATATTGGGTTAGCGTGTGTGTATGTTCTGAAACATAAAACATTATCACCCATGGCAACTTCAGATGGCCTTAACTTGCACTGTTAAATGCATGTATATTTCCCCATCTTCATTATGTATGTGTGTATGTGTGTGTGTGTATGTGTGTATATATATATATATCAGCTATATAAATACAGCGGCTGGATAGCATAGTGATTAGAGTGCTGCCCTTTGATGCAGAAGACTGGGATTTGAATCCTGGCTGGTACCTACCTTACCAGTAGGGGTGCTTGGGCAAAGACCCCCTAACGCTTCACCTGCCTACCTCAAATATGAGAGTGACACAAACTAAGAGAGTCGTGTTGGCTTTATAGCCTCCAAGCTACAGGATCACATGAGCACAGCTCAGAAGGGCATTGGGAACAGCACCAGGGGCTCAAAACACCAGTTGCTCATAGACAGAGCAATTGCCCAAGACTCAAGGTCTAGAAAGAACAATATAAGCACAGCCTGAATTGACTACAGGAAAGCCTACAACTCAGTGCCATACACATGGATATGTGAATGCCTAGCACTGTACAAAGTCAACAGGACACTAAGGACCTTCCTCAAGAACTCAGTGGGACTGTGGAGGACCACACTGGAAATCAGCTCAAGACAGCTTGCACAAGTGGCCAACAAGTGCAACATACACCAAGGATATGCACTGCCCTGCTGCTGTTCTGCATAGGCTTGAACCCCCTCAGCCAGATAATCACAAGGTCTGGGTATGGGTACAAGTTCAAGAGTGGAATCACCATCAGCCACCTCCTCTGCATGGATGACATCAAGCTGTATGCTAAGACATCGACTTGCTGATCCACCAGACACAGATCTACAGTGAAGACATTGGGATATCATTCAGACTGGAGAAGTGTGGCCGGATGGTA